ATTACATAATAAATATTTAAGATTTACAGAGTACACAGTCAGCTTTTTTGCAGCTCAAGTCCAGACTGAAGTAACTTTTCATTCTTATTGTGATTCAGGCATTGAGATGAACTTGAAAATTACTGGTGTCCTGTTATCTGCAAGCATGTGAGCTCCCCCAAGACACGAAGGCCTGTTTATTCACTGGTACACAGAAGAGTACCAGGCAGTGTAGGCTGATGAGTTAGACAGCTCAAATTTCCCTTCGGTTTTACCAGTTATGTGACTTTGGACACCTTATTTTCAGCCTCATTTTCTTTATCTTTAAAATAGGACTAAATTGTTGGATTACCTAACCCACAGTGTTTTTAAGAGGATGAAATGAGATAATGCCGGTGAAGTGCTATGTACAATGCCTGGCACATAGTAAGAAATCTATAGGTGTGATTTATCATCATTTTCTTAAGGAGAAAATTGTTCCAGATTATCACCTCATAAAGAGACAAGAGGGACTTTCTTGGCAGTCCAGTGGTAAATATTCCACTCTCCCAATGCAGGCGGCCAAGGTTCGATCCCTGGTTGGGGAACCTAAGATTCTGCATGCCACAGAGTGGCCAAACAAAAACCAAGAGACAAGAGACGGGGAGACACTCTTTCCCATCACCCCTCTTGGCTGACTGCTCTCTAAAGACTGGTTTATCTCCCAATAGCGAAGTTTTTCTTTTGTTTCTAAAACCAGAGTACGTTCCCACTTCTCTGTATGTTTCATTCCTACAGCAGGTGTCCCTAGGGTTAGGCCCTCTGCTTTCTCAGACCGCTCTGCAACCTATCTAGCAGTTTTTAAAGGAAACAAAAAGTGTTTCGCCTCAGAAGTAACTTGACTCGGGAGGGCTGACGGAGGTGGGTGCTGCGGAGAGATTTCTGTTTGGTGATGCACCAACCTGGGAACCAGCAGGAGTGCCCACGTTCTGGAGGCAAGACTCTGCAGGAGGGCACCGAAGAAAGGGCACTGCAGCTTCCAAACGGAGGCGGCGGGCATCCTCCGCCCCGCCTGGCAAGCTGGGGAGAGCGGAAGGTAAACGCCATATTGCCGCTCCTGCTCTCTGGGCCATCTGAGCAGAGTCCAAGGGCAGCGGCATCCAGACTCAGACTTGGATGTGTGCCCAAGTCATCTGGGGATGCTGTGAGAGTGAGATTCTGATTCAGAGGGTCTGGTGTGGGGCCAGGGTTTGGATACTGAACAGGTTCCCCAGGCTGATGCTAGAACCCCAGACCTACTGAATCAGAAACTCTGGGGGGAACCCAGCAAGCTGTGAGTTAACAGGTGATCCTGATGAGTAGGGTTCTAAAGCCACACCTGGGCAAGTACCTTAGCTTCTCTGAGCCTCAGGTTCCTTAGCTGTGAAATGGGGATGACGATGATGCCCGATGTGGGGACGACCCAAGATCATTCTGGTTAAACCCTCTGCACAGTGCCTGGCATTCACTTCATGCTCAATATGGGCAGAGATTCTTACACTATTTTATCAAAGGTGCCTTTGCCAAGTGTGGACACTCACTTTCTGCAAAGCCTGAACCAAGGGCCCGGTTTCAAGCCCCATCTTGATCTCGCCGCCAAGAAATCCCTGCACATTTTCTCAGGTCAAGGACAGGAACAAGGAGAGGTGGGATTCAGCCTTGAACTGTGCTGGGCGGTGGAATGACTCCTGTGGGCAGCAGCCACGGCCCCTGGTCAGTCTGTATTACAGGGGATTGTGGAGGGAGGTGGGGTGGCAGAGGGAGACAGGTATGAAAGACAGGGGGTCTAAAGGAACATTCGTGCTTGCTCCAGGAAAGACAGGTGGAATCTGAGACAGGTGAGCCAGCTGTGAAAGGGGAAAGTGGCTTCCTTGGCAAAGATGCTCTGAGGGAAGCATTTCTGTGGTGGCAGGGAAGGCCCCTATGTCACTGGTGGAGATGAAGGGGCTCATCACTCCCCTCCTGAGTGCAGACGTCCACTTGGGGGGGAAACTGATGGCGAGATGGGAAAGAGGTGAGTGGATGAAGCCAGCCAGGAGAGCCAGATAGCTGAGTTTCTGTGAGGGCTTTGGGAGTAAGTGAGGGGTCACTGCTCCCCATTTAGGAGATCTTTCCACCAAGTTAGGAAAACCAAGTTAGGGTCACAAGTTTCAAAGTCAGCCAGACACGGCATCAACATCTAGCCTGCAACGTGACCTTGGGCAAGTAGTTTTCTTTCTCTGAGTCTCTGTTGCTCCTGTAAAATGTGGATAACAGTGATTTCCAAGGCTTGTGAAGATTAATGCTGGGTAGTATTTATGGAGCACTCAATACATGTCAGGCATGCTTTACGTGCATTTACTTTTTAGTCCTCACAGCAACCTGTCAGGTAGTATTGCTATTGCCCCCAAATTATGGATTCAACAACAAAGGCTTAGAGAGGTTAAGTAATTTTCTACAGTGGGTATAGTTTCAAATATCTGCTTTGCTACTCTCTACCTAGGAAATCCTAGTTTCCTCTCCTGAGGGTTTCTGGGGTTCAAATCCAAATACCTGTGACACAAACTGCATGCAAAGCACATCTTCCTACACTCATATCTTTGGCGAATCCATCTCATGGCTGGTCTAATATTAAGGGTTCAGGCCGGATTGCTTGGTTCGAATCCTGGCAATACCACTTACGAGCTGAGTGATCTTGAGCAAGTTACTTAACCACTCTGTGCTTCATTTTCCTTGCCTGTAAGAGGGGATGATAATCATCTATAAAATAGGACAATTAATGATTCACTGAGTTAATTATGCAGTTGTTTAGTGCAGTGGCTGCACACACTAAGAACTGAATACACGTCAGCAATGATGACAATGATTTGACTTCAGTGCTAGAACTTGTCCAAGAGGGATTGGGTAGTGGGTACAGCCAGACATCTTAGAATGTAAAGTCAAGTGGGCCTTAGGAAGCATCACTTTGAACAAAGCTAGTGGAGGTGATGGAACTCCAGTTGAGCTATTTCAAATCCTAAAAGATGATGCTGTGAAAGTTCTGCATTCAATATGCCAGCAAATTTGGAAAACTCAGCAGTGGCCACAGGACTGGAAAAGGTCAGTTTTCATTCCAATCCCAAAGGAAGGCAATGCCAAAGAATGCTCAAACTACTGCACAGTTGTACTCATTTCACACACTAGTAAAGTAATGCTCAAAATTCTCCACGCCTGGCTTCAACAGTACATGAACCGTGAACTTCCAGATATTCAAGCAGGATTTAGAAAAGGCAGAAGAACCAGAGAATAAATTGCCAACATCCACTGGATCATCGAAAAAGTGAGAGTTCCAGAGAAACATCTACTTCTGCTTTATTGACTATGCCAAAGNAAGAATTAATACTTTTGAACTGTGGTATTGAAGAAGACTCTTGAGAGTCTCTTGGACTGCAGGAGATCCAACCAGTCCATCCTAAAGGAAATTAGTCCTGAATGTTCATTGGAAGGACTGATGTTGAAGCTGAAACTCCAATACTTTGGCCAAATGGTGTGAAGAGCTGACTCATTGGGAAAAACCCTGATGATGGGAATGATTGAAGGTGGGAGGGAAAGGGGATGACAGAGGATGAGATGGTTGTATGGTATCACCAACTCAATGGAGATGAGTTTGAGTAAACTCCAGGAGTTGGTGATGGACAGGGAGACCTGGTGTGCTGCAGTCCATTGATTCACAAAGAGTCAGTCACAACTGAGCGACTGAACTGAACTGAACTGAAGAGAAAAATGGCAAGATTCCCATCCTCTTTTCTCAAGGCCTCACAGAAACTCAGTAGGAACAGAGACCAATTCCCAGAGAGAAGACTTTATGTTGCTGCTGTTGCAGCATTTCTGGGCCTCCCCTGACAGCCATTCAGCAATGGACGCTGTCATTTCTAATTGCTATTACTGAACAAGGAAAGTTCTGCTGTGTTAAATTTCTACTGCAGTTTGGGGCCTTAAGTTCAGCACCAAATACACCACCTGAGAAACTAGCATCAAAAACCACACCATCAGAAGCCTTATCTCTTCTGAAAGGCAAGACTGCTTTATGCACAAGCTAAGGAAGCAACTTAAGTCAATGAGAGACTTCAAATAAAAGTCAGTGGAAGAAAAAGGAATCAGAGTTAAAAAGCATCTAGCCCAGGACTTCCCTGGTGGTACAGTGGCTAAGACCCCATACTCTCAGTGCAGGGGGCCTGAGTTCAATCCCTGGTGGGGGAACTAGATCCCACACCCCACATGCTGGAACTATGAGTTTGCGTGCTGCAACTGAAAGATTCCTTGTGCAGCAACTAGAATATCCTGCGCTGCAACTAAGACCCAGAGCAGTCAAATAAGTAAAAAGGTAAAAATATTTAAAAAAGCATCTAGCCCACAGCAAATAGCATACAAGTATAGTGATGAGAAAGTCACGCAAGGGAATTAGGAATAACAGAAAAAAGCATAAAGTAAACAACAGTCGAATAATGAGCATGATTCCACTGGACAGGAGAGGCACTTGATGGAGAACAGCCAGAAGACGCTCTGCAGTGCAGCTCCTTCGCACTCCACCACCACGGAATTTTTTCCACATTCTTTGAAACTAGTTGACTCTTCATAGACCCACACTTTATTGCTTCATGACCTTCCTTATCAATGACATCGGTAGCATTCAGAGTCACATCCCAGCACGCTGGACGTAGGCTTACACTTCCTACTTCCGTATCATGTGCATCCATCAGACGGGAAGCTCTCAGAAGGCACACCCGGCATTCTCGCTTGTTACCTTATGTCTGGTACTCAGTGCAGACCCTGGCTCACAGCGGGCACATGATAAGCATTTGCTGGATGCACGAATAAGTTCGGTCCCCTGAACTGATTTGGATCGAGGTGTTAGAACCCTCATACGTTCTTCTGGGGGTGAGGGTCAGTTCCACTGGAACCTCTAGCCCCTCGGAGCCCCCAGTTTGCCGGGGGACTGTGGAATGACTGTCCTGCAGTTCATGCTGACTGCTTCCTTCACTCACTGCGAGGATGTCTTCGGGTGCCTGATGCAGAGTGGCATGTTTATCAGGAGTCAAGGAGCTGCCGTCCGCACTGCATATCTGAGGGCACAAGAGGCGCCGCGCCAGGTCGGGAGAGCAAACCCGCATTTCTGTCACTTGGACGCACACCTGGCCGCTTGAATGTGATGGGAATCTCGTCTGTTAATGTGGCAAATTCTCCCCCTGGCAGGAGGGCCCGAGTCTGCCCGCTGCCTGCAGTACAGAAACTGGCAGACCTGAGGCATACCGGGCACAGCTGGCAGTGCAGGAACAAAGGGGAATGTGTGTTTGTGATGAGGGAGGACCTACCTGGGCTCAGGCTCTCTTAAAGACATTTATCAGGAAAGGAAGGACATGATCGTGGGCTGCAGCTGGGAGACGGCATGCTCCGTTCAGGGTGGCAGGAGCCCTGGGACTGACTGGCTGGCTCTCTCCTCTGCACTCACTGGCATGATTACATCACCCTGGCTGCTCCAGACCTCTCCCTCTAACACCTAGGAGTTTCTGAGGCTCAAAAGTTGTCCACGAGTGGCAATCTGTCATCGTCACCAACAGACTGCACAGGACCAATGGGATGGAGCCACCCCACCATCTCTGCCTTATGTGTGAGGGGTGAGGGGCAGGTATACACGTGCTCACACCCACACCCTCACACTGAACCATATTTGAACCTTTTTCTTATTAAAGACCAGAAGTGCATCTTTGATAGAATTCACTGAGAAAGGCACAGCATCTTACGAAAAACACATAACCTCAATCTTTTTTTTTCTGCTGCACTGCACGGCACATGGGATCTTAGTTCCCCAACCAGGGATCGAACCTGTGCCCCCTGCAGTGGAAGCACGGGTCTTAACCACTGGATTGCCAGGCAAGTCCCTGCATAACTTCATTCTGATCATGAGAAAACATCAGACAAACCCACATCTAGGGGCTAGCTAAGAAACGATTCGCTAGTACTTTCTAAAATGCTCAAAGTCATGAAAAAAAAAAAAAATCGAAAGACTGAGGGGCCCTTGCAGATTGGAGGGGACTAAGGAGACATGACAACTGAACACAAAGTGAGATCTGGACCAGAAAACAGGGGCAAAATTAGAAACAAGTCTGTAAATTAGTCAATAGCATTGATCCATGTTAATTTCCTGGTTTCACCAACTGAACTTTGGTAATTTAAAACGTTGACATCAGGGGAAGCTGAATCAACCCTCGGAACCCTGTGTACTATTTTTGTAACCTGTCTGCAAGACAAAAATGATTTTAATATTAATATAAAAAGCTTAAGATATTGGGGAGGGTGGTTAGAATAGGATTTATCTCAAATTGCTGATATGAGAATGGATAAGACTGTATGCATTAAGTACTTTATACAAAGCCTGGTACATCTTTAATACTTAATAACTATTGGTGGTTATGAAAAAAAAGAAGCTATCTGAAATGAAGGCTTAACAGACCACAAGTAAATCAGGCACTAATCATTAAGCTTACCCACTTGAAGCTGGTAGTGTTGAAACTGTGTGCCTATTTTTACCAAGTTTCTCACTTTATCACCTACCTATTGTGTAGGTAGTGAATTGCATTATTTTCAGGATCCTAAACTTAGGACTTGAGATGTTCAAGGCTTGAATTTCTCTAGAAGCCAGGCTGGCTCACACATGCTATACAGTAGGATCCAATTTGGAGATCATTGATAGGAAATGAATATGTGAGAAGCTGACTTGGCTTGATTGCTCAGAGCAGGGAAAAGATTCCTTACTTGAATGCAAAACCAAACTACAATGAGGTACCACCTCACACCAGTCAGAATGGCCATCTTTGAAAAGTCTACATTGTAGACTGCACAATAACAAACGCTGAGAAAGGTGTGGATTCAAGGGGACTCTCCTACACTGTTCATGGGAATATAAATTGGTACAACCACTATGGAAAAGAGTACAGAGGTTCCTCAAAAAACTATAAATAGAGTTGCTATATGATCCAGCAATCCCACTCCTGGGGATATACCTGGACAAAACTATAATTTGAAAAGATACATGCACCTCTATGCTGATAGCAGCACTATATACAACAGCCAAGACATGGAAACAACCTGAACGTCCATTAACAGATGAATGAACAAAGAAGATGTGGTACATATTTATAGTGGAATATCACTCAGCCATAAAAAAGAGTGAAATAATGCCATCTGCAGCATCACTGATGAACTATGTGAAGAGATTGTAAGAAAGACAAATACTATATTATATCACTTACACGTAGAATCTAAAACGTGACACAAATGAACATATCTACAAAACAGAAAGAGACTCACAGACATAAAGAACAGACCTGTGGTTGCCAAGTGGGAGAAGGGGAAGGGATGGAGGAGGAGTTTAGCATTAGCAGATGTAAACTATTATAGAATGGATAAACAACAGAGTCCTACTGTATAGCACAGGAACTATATTCAATATCCTGTGATAAATCACAAGGGAAAAGAATATGAAAAAGAATATATATGTGTATAACTGAATCACTTTGCTGTATACCAGAAACTAATACAATATTGGAAATCAATTATATGTCAACAAAACTAAAAAAAAGAAAACATTTCTTTCTCAGCAGATTTAAAGGCAGCACTAGTTGTTAGGTAGCGTTAGTTACTCGGTCGTGTCTGACTCTTTGTGACCCTGTGGACTGTAGCCTGCCAGGCTCCTTTGCCCAGGGAATTCTCCAGGCAAGAATACTGGAGTGGGTAGCCATTCCCTTCTTCAGGGGCTCTTCCTGATCCAGGGATCAAATCTGGGTCTCCTGCACTGCAGGCAGATTCTTTACTGCCTGAACCACCAGGGAAGCCTAGAGGCAGCACTAACCTTTCCTATTTATTGCAACAGATTTCAGGTTTCTTTTCTAACTTTTCATTTTGACATGGCTCCCTTTAAAAGAAGTTCACCTATGTAAACCTCATGGGTAGAGTTAAAGAAATATGTTAGGGAAATAAAGATTCTGATGTCCCATGAATTTGACAAAAATCATGAAGGTGGTACATGAAAGAGCAAAGTGTGAGAAATGAGGGATTAGGGTGTTTCTAAACACTGCCCTTGTTAATGAAATAGCTAGATTGTGCCCATTTCAAAAAACACTAAGGAAGTAACATCTTCAGGGCCAAGAGGCAAAAGCTCACTCCTAACGTTCTTAAGCCAACTTACCCAAGAATAAGTGAGGAAACAAAGCAATTTTCGTCTCTAAACACTTCAATTTTGCCCACTGTAGGCATCGACAGCTGAATTAAAATATACAACAAGTTCAGAGGCCGATTTCAGGAACGGCTTCTGAGTATGCCAGAGGAACTACTCTTAACAGCCACTCGATATTTGTTTCACGAGGATCAATTATATACCCCGACTAATGCACAGTCAGAGCGTGCAGCCCGGCCCGCAGTGCAGGTGGTGAATGCAAAACACACACCGAGAGGCCTTTTAAGCAGCTAAATGCACACCCCATTACAGATCCATAATGCAGAATGGGCGCTCATCTGCAAATGGATGGAGAGCGAAGAGTTCTTAAATGGCTGGGGTACTTAGGGCTGAAAGGCCGGTCCCTGGATGTGCAGCCGGAGCACACACGGTTTTAGGATTAATAATACATCGAAGTGTGTCAGTCTTAATATACATTTACAGCTCGCAGGCCATGCAGCAGAGGGTTCAGCCCATTTGCAGCCATACAGAAAAGGACTATTCTGTCCCTTCTCTCATTAATGCCTTCACTCCAAGGAAAATTAGATTATGCAAGAAAAGCCATTCAAATGCTATTGAGGTTTTCCCTACTTTAAAGCCTTTGCTCAGGAAAAGTGCTCGGCACCGTGAGGCAGGGTGTCATCTACCTGCTTCCATCAAAGCCCATCAGAACTGGAGCCAAGGAGTGCCAGGGTCTGCTGTCTACTTGGGGGCTGTGTCCACATGCCCTTGGGCATAGTGTGGTAAGGAGAAAAGCAGCTGAGAGAATGGTCCGGTCTGGTGGATCCCTGCTCTCTATTCCTTTTGCATCTGACAGGTTTACCAAACCTTTGACATGATCCTGTGGTTAAGGATATGAATGTAGGTGATGTCATTTAGCAATGAGTCTCACACAGGTGCAACCAAACCACAGTCCTGTTCACTTATCAATCAGCATTCCGAAGGATATGGGAATTGCAAATCTTTGAAATACTGTGAATATTTGAAATACCATACAATTTTCCCAAGCCATTGTGGTGAGGGTGGTACTATTTAGCATTTACAGAGCGGCTCTATTAATGATTGCCTCTCTCTTAGAATGCCAAGGCAGCATGGTCTTTTGAAGAAGAGCACATAAAGGGATGGAAATAGTATACAGATATATAAATAAATATACTATGACATGTGTAAGTAAAAGATGGTAAAACTAAAGCCTCCAAGGGCTCCCAAAGTGTTCTGCTAAGAACTTGGGGGTATATTCTCTCATCCCATCCTCACGATGAATTCAGGAAGAAATTCCCTAGTTTTCCAGAGGAAGAAACCAAGATTCAGAAATGTTAGGTCACTTGCTAAAGGCCACAGAGATCCTGATTGGGGCTGGAACACAGGAAGGCCTGACTCCTGAACAAAGGCTTGGAAGCTCTCTACTGCTGTTTTTCAGACCCACTCACTGGTGGGTGGGGAATCAGTGTAGTCAGTGTTTTTCATTTTTTAAAAGTGAAATAGGACAGAATAGAAAAGAAACATGAAGTGTTGTTTTATGAAAGTCTCATTTTAATTTTATAGCTGTATTTATCATGAACAAATGTGTGTGTGTGTGTGTGTGTATGCAGCATGTACCATGTTTAAAAAGTGTGAGAAGCTCAGCTCTCCACTGCACTTGCCTGTGATAGCATCACTTGAAGGTCAAACTCAAGGTCTCTTGCTAGCTAGATATGGGCCACTAAGTCCCCTGTTTTTGTGAGAGTCATTTTCTTTCTTCTATTACCTTTCCCCCAAGAATCCCAGGGCCCCCGTCATTCTGTGCAAAGCAGTGTAGATAAATTAATAATACAATTTAAAACCGATTCCACCAAGATAAATAGCACTTCCTAGATTAAGAGCGTAGCTGGCCAGAATGAATGAAATTTACTAACCCTGAGATGCTTAATCTTCCATTACACAGAAGTTAATGATTATAAGAAAGGAGTGATGGTAATTCACTTCTGCTTTTACAGGAAATCTAACCATCTCATTTTTAGCAAATCTTTCTTCTCAGCACACCTCAATGCCAAGGATAACTGCCCTGCTCTTATAGGTATATTGGCCAATTGTCATATATCAAAGTCTCCTCTTTGCCAAAGTGTTAGGACGCATAGCTTGCACAGGCTTACAAGATATCCCAGTGGAATTTGCTGGGGAGGCAACCTTGGTGCTCCCTCTCCCAGCCCCACTAAGAAGTCTCTTTTCCATTTTCCAATCATAGCAGGGAAGTGGCGGTAAATACCTTTAGCGCAGTCTGCTCCTAAAAACCCTGGGAAGCAGTGACACAGCCCGGACACACATTCGCCATTCCCATGGCAGTTACGTGGACAGTCCTGCACTGAATCTGAAAAAGAGAGAATGTGAACAATTACTTTTTGCTCTGCCTGCTGGTGAAGCAATTTGGTAGCCAGCCACCTACTGTTTTTCAGGAGCAGTGGCAGTAACCTCAGTTGCCTCCTGGGGGCTGGTAAGGAGAAGTGGGTGAAGTAGGAGAACAGGGATGGGTGGGAACTAGGGCAACTTGGACAGTGCATGGATGTAACTACTGCTCTGCATGATATTAGTCCAGGCAGGAATTTGAGCATAGTACTGTGACAATTTTCCCTTTCTCAAAAGAAACTACTTATCTGAATTAAAAAATTGCAAAGTTCTATGCTGGCAAGTTTTTAAACACTGTAAGCCCCAGCCTGCCCCCAATATCACCCTATCAATCTGAGATTTGGTTTGAGATGTGAAGTATCAGCTTTTAGCCTCAGGTATAGAGAATGATTCTCCAAATGACAGAGGTGGCTCCCGATATCAGGTTGGCAGAGTAAAAAAAAAAATCCCCTGCATTAAAGAAAGAAAGTCTAAATACCTAAGACTGATCAATTTTGGCATGATTTGGGGATTCATTAAGTAGTAGGTTTGGGGTGGTACAAAAGTCCTTTTATGCCTAGCTTTTCACAGAACTTATTATTTTTTTGTGTGTGTGAAAATCAATTAGTTCACCCTTGTTCTCACCTGTATAGCCATCTTATTTCATGATTTACTTTGCTATGTGTACTCTCAAGAAATGCCTTCAAAGGGATCATTTTGGAACTTTTTCATGTTGATTTGGGTCTGCACAGAAGTAGATGTATTCTTTTAAAATTATGATTATTATTATCCTCATTTTGCCTTACATTCAAATAAACACATTTAGACTTTCAGGTTCTAAATTACTAAGATGATGAAAAGCCACTGTGCCCCAAAGATGACATGACATAGTCCATGGAGAGCTAGGGACATTGGCTTAGTGATGCGCGTGAGACTATGAAGTCTAATTGTCCCTAATGGAATGGTAAGGCCTTCCTTTAAACTGAATTTCCCATTTATTTCTACTCTGGACTGAAAAACCAAACCATGCTTTCTTTCCATAGTTTTATTTCTCAGCTCTCATTTTCTAGAATCAGGCTGTGGTTGGTTTCTGGCAGTAGGAGAATTCAAGCAGTCTATCTGTATTTCCAAAATCAGTATCAAGCCAATTTCTTTTCTTCTTTTTTTGTTTTTGGCTGTGTGGATCTTAGTCCCTGGACCAGGGAGTGAACCTGTGCCCTCAGTGAAAGTGCAGAGTCCTAACCACTGGGCCTCCAGGAAATTCCCAAGCCAATTTCTTTAGTGTCCAGCAATTATCACTGCAGAATCAAATCCTTGAAGTTGGCTCTATAAAGGTGGGCTGAGAAACATCCAAGTGGCTATCAATTTGTTTCATGTTTCATCTACTCATTGTCCCTTTCCTGCTTTCATTCAAAAAGCATTAGGTTGAATCATACGAGGTAGCTGCTTTGGCAGGTCAAAAGCCAGCAATTTCACATGATGGTAGGAGATAACTCGCCATGGGTCTCGTGTGTTTCTGAATGTTTTATGAGCAGAGGCCCCGACTGCCTTAGCTCTGGACTATCTTTTGAAAGGCTGTCTGTACAGTGAACAGCCTTAGGAGATATAGCATCTGTCTTCAGAGCAAAGGGCAGGTTTAGTTACTGTCCAGTAGAATAAAGAGAATGTCTCCCTCTGGAGAAAAGCACGGGCAGGCTCACTGCCCATTTGGAGACTGGAGTATAGTAAATGAAGAGTTCTACGTAATGTAAGCCACCGTCTGTGCAGCGGTCACCTGGCCCTGTCTGGGAGGCCCTGTGGGGACTGGTGTTTGGGAAACTTGCACATCGGCTGATATTCTCGATATTACATTGCTCTGAGGAATAAAGCCTGTTGTCTCTTACCCAGGAGCACCTCCTCTCCTGATAACATTGATGAGGCTGTGGCTGACTAATAATGTGTTAGCTTACAATTAGGGTGAGACCTCAGATCTGCCACGGTCCTTGAAAGGGGGGTTTACTTTATTAACTGAGCATCTGTTATATATATTAGTGGGGTTTCCCTGGTGGCTCAGATGGTAGAGAATTTTCCTGCAATGTGGGAGACCCAAGTTCGAGCCCTGGGGTCAGAAAGATCCCTTGGAGAAGGGAATGGCTACCCACTCCAGTATTCCTGCCTGGAGAATGATAACAAGGCACCCTACAAGGCACCACTGAATACAGTGGTGACTAGGAAAGACATAGTCCCCTGTCCTCACAGAACTTCCACTGTCATAGAGAATACAGGTTAAATAAAATAATCAAATACAGTAAAAAATCATCATATGTGGACTTTCTTGGCCATGTGGTAATTAAGACTATGCACTCCCAATGCAGGGACACGGATTTGACTCCTGGTCGGGGAACTAAGACGCCACATGCTGGGCAGCATGGTGTAACTCCCCTCCCCTGCCCAGCCCTGCACAAATCGTGATATGTGCTTTGAAGAGAATGGGATATTGTGAAAGGGAGTAAGAGGAGGAAGCTACTTAGAGAGGATGGCCAGGGAGGGCCTCACTATTCCATGCAGGTAACATATAAGGGTGAACTGGAAAAGTCAAAGGAAGAGCAAGACAGAAGCACCAGACAGGAGGAAGATATGCAAAGGCCCTGTGGTGGAGAAGAGCCCAGGTGAATCCCATGTGGCTGGGGGGTAGAAAGAAGGAAGAGAGTGACATAAGGGGAAGTTGGAGAAACCTAGATCCTCCAGGGCCCTGGAGGCCACGTGGATGAGTTGGATTTTATTCTGAGACCAACGAGAACAAATGAAAAGTTTTCAAAATAGAAATGACATCATCCAGCTTGCATTTTCAGAAGTCACCCCAACCACGAAGTGGAGTTTGATTCTCACTGAGCAGCTGGGTCTGGGAATGGTTTAGTGGAAACTGACATGGCTGAGGCCAAAGCTCCCTGTTCTCCAACCAAGCATCCTCAGAGCAGCGAAGATAGGAAGGTCTTAACCACCACAGTCCCAGGGAAAAGGACCAAATATTTTGCACAAACTCCTTGCTCTTTAGTTGAGGTATTTATCTAAAAGTCTCAGTTTAGAAAACATTTAGCTTCTAGATGTCTTCCTTCTCTGGGCTTCCCCGGTGGCTCCACAGTAAAGAATCCACCTGTCTATTCAGGAGATACAGGTTCAATCCCTGGGTCTGGAAGATCCCCTGGAGAAGAGAATGGCTACTCACTCTGGTATTCCTGCCTGAAGAAGTCAATGGACGGAGAAGCCTGGCAGGTTACAGTCCATGGGATCACAAAGAGTCGGACACGACTCAGCAACTAAACAACAAAATCTTCCTTCCCTACTTTCCTCAACCTGGGTTTTGTACCCTTTCCATTATCCTCCCCTAGCTCCTATAATTACCTTTTAACCTATCTGTCTCCTCTCACCAAGCTCTATGAGGAAGAGATCAGATTTGAACTGTTTACTGAGGTATTTTCAATGTTTGGCACACAGTAGATCCTTGGTAAAGAGTTACTAACGTGTTTGTGTGTATACATGTGTGTGTATGCACACATATCTCAGGGGACAGGAGGATCCAGAATAAGCAAAAAGTGCAATGAAGAGTACTTTTCATTCAATTTCCCCCAGGTCTTATCTTGGAAGCATTTCTACAGTTTTTGAGGAAAGCAACAACTATGTGATACTGCCGAAATATAGAAGGAACCTATTTCCCTCAGTCACCTTTTTTCAACACTCAATTTAAATATTACTCTTGAAATCTTATCAGTTTTCCTTTTTGTCACCCTGGCTGAAGTTTTCTTGAGGAAACAAGGCGGGCGATGAGAGTTAGACCAGGAAATGGGATTTTTACTCAAGCGGAGGCCAGCCTCCCTGAAATGTGCACCACACTTCAAGAATGCCGCTCTATAGTCCCCTGAGATGAAACTCATTTCTGAAAGCAAGCTGCTTCTCTCCAAAACACATCGGAAGACTTCCCTGAGTCAAAGGTATATTTAGCTTGATGGCTGGTTGACACCCGTCTAACGTCTTTCCCTCTGTTTCATATCACAGGGGCTTTCGGTGCTCCTGGCTGCTCTTGATGGCGAATGGTCCGATAATAGATATGTGTGGGAGAATCTCTGAACCAAATAAAACACTGTTCTTTTCCCTACATTTCAGGCCAATTACTATCATTGCTCTATCAAGATGTCTGCCCAACTATTAGGCCGATTACCTTTGACTTTCTCTTAGAGCTACATCCAGACAAGAGAAATCCTCCGGGGAGAATTGCTATTCCCAGCTCCGACAGAGAAGCGAGGGTAATGGCTGAGGGGGAAGGGCATCTCACCACCGCCGTCTGTGTCCATGTGGATAAAAGTGACAGAGGGCAGAAGCCATTTTTAGATAACATGGCCACCAGACAACTTGCTGCATAGAAGGGGAGAGGGTTTTAGCTGGCTACAATCCAAAGCAATTCAGTGGTTAAGAATGCAGGCTCTGGAGAGCTGAATCTGACTCCACCTCTTACTAGCTATGTGAGACCTTAGGCAAGTTAACTTCTCTGAGCCTGGGCTTCTTCAACTGGAAAACAGAATATTGGTAATCCTGACCTCTTTTAACTACTCTACGGGCTGGCTGGTCTGGTCCCCAAAAGGGCCAAGTCCAGGGGACTTGGAACATGGACAGCTCTCTATAGATGTGCCGCTGTCACTGGTTTTGCTATTATCCATTCCACTGGGTCTTTGTAGACTCCAGCTAAGCCAGCTACTGTGCGTGGGGTGTGTGTATGAAGCCTTTGAGTTTTAAACAGAAAGCAAATGGATGGGCCTAGAGATTGTCATACTGAGAGAAGTAAGTCAGACAGAGAGAGACAAACATACGACACTGCTTACATGTGGAGTCTAAAAAACGGTGCAAATGAACTTATTTACAAAGCAGAAAAAGAGTTACGGATATAGAAAACAAATTTGTGGTTATCAGGGGGTAGGTGGGGGAGGGATAAATTTGAAGACTGGGATTGACATGTACACATTACTGTACATAAAATAGATAATAAAGCCCTACTGTAGAGCGCAGGGAATGCTACTTGATATTCTGTAATGGTCCATATAGGAAAATAATCTAAAAAGAGTGAATATATGTATATGTATAATGAATTCACCTTGCTGAAACTAACACAACATTGTAAATCAACTGTATTCCAATAAAAAGATTTAAAAAACATGATTGACAAGAAACTTTTTAAAAAACCTACACAGGGAACCAAAAGGACATCATTTCTCATCATATTCTTCTGCAAAAGATTGTTTTTTTATCTTAACATCTCAAACTAGGTCCAAATGCGTTGCCAGTGTCTTTCTTTTATGATCTGGTTTTTATCCTTTTAGACTTTTTTCCTCACTGGTACATAATCTGCTCCTGGAAATTTTTCCTAACTAGTGGAAGATTTCTCCAGTGACTTTCCTGATACAAAGTTTATACACTTTATACAAAGTGTAAAGCAGTGCTTGGCAAACTTTTTCTGTCACGTGACAGGAAATATTTAGGCTTTGCGGGTCAAACTGTCTCCACTGCAACCATTCCACTCTGCTGTTACAGCTGCCACGATGTGACAACAGATGAATGTGGCTGTGGTCCAATAAAACTTTATTTATAAACATAGGCAGTGGGCCAGATTTGGTCCATGGGCTCTGGCGTGCTAAGTACTGCTTTAGAGCATTGGGCTTGTCCTGTTAGGACCCATCTTCCCTTAGCAGAGGAATAAGCATTAACTTCAGTGCTATGGTAAATACCAAATCCTTATTTGGGTAGTTATGGCTGCTACCTGAATTTTTAGGTTGGGTTATATATCTCTTTCAAGGATCAGGGAAATCCTAAGAGCAATCCATGAAACCAGTAGAGAAGTTCTTAACATGAAGTTAAGAGAAAAAGAGCTGCACAAGATGTGCTCTTAAAAAAGTCATCCGCTCTCACAAGTGGTTACCAGCTCCATTCCAGACAGGTTCCACAAGAGATGGTACATCATCCTTCCCTCCAGGGACATGGTCATTACTTGTCCACAAATGATTGAACTGAGGCTTGGGAAGGTAAGTGACCCTCCTAGGTCAGATGTGGGAAAGAAAAGGCAGGATTTAATCCTGGATCAACCATCTTCTCCAGGTATCTAGAGAACCGTGAGGTCCATGACTGAATGCTGCTGGGACAACATGGTGCTGCAGAAAGGCAATGAATAATCCCTGTGAGTCCATGTTGTTTCCATCATTTCCACATCCTGGGATCTTGAGGGACTCAGTTTTTTGAACCTCAGTTTATTCATCTGTGAGATGGGTCTAACAATCTGCCATGATTCAGAGAGGTTCTGCCCAGGATCAGTTATCATCATTAGTAGATGATTAAAACCTAATGACAAAGTAAATGTAATGAAAATATTTATAGGTGCTATCAACATTCAGAAAACTAAGATCATGGCATCTGGTCCCATCACTTCGTGGCAAATAGATGGGGAAACAGTGGAAACAGTGGCTGAGTTTATTTTTTTGGGCTCCAAAATCACTGCAGATGGGGACTGCAGCCATGAAATTAAAAGACTCTTACTCCTTAGAAGGAAAGTTATGACCAACCTAGACAGCATATTAAAAACCAGAGACATTACTTTGTCAACAAAGGTCTGTCTAGTCAAGGTTATAGTTTTTCCAGTAGTCATGTATGGATGTGAGAGTTGGACTATAAAGAAAGCTGAGTACTGAAGAATTGATGCTTTTGAACTATGGTGTTGGAGAAGACTCTTGAGAGTTCCTTGGACTGCAAGGAGGTCCAACCAGTCCATCCTAAAGGAGATTAGTCCTGGGTGTTCATTGGAAGGACTGCTGTTGAAGCTGAAACTCCAGTACTTTGGCCACCTGATGTGAAGAGCTGACTCATTTGAAAAAACCCTGATGCTGGGAAAGATTGAGGGCAGGAGGAGAAGGGGACGACAGATGATAAGATGGTTGGATGGCATCACCAACTCAATGGACATGGGTTTGGGTGGACTCCGGGAGTTGGTGATTGACAGGGAGGCCTGGTGTGCTGTGGTTCATGGGGTCGCAGAGTTGGACATGACTGAGCAAATGAACTAAACTGAACTGAAATGATGAATGCTAAAATACTTGGGATTTGCTGTTGGAAAACTCATGAAATAGTCTCAAACAAATGGACCTTTAAGGGGTTATTTGACTTATAAGGGGAGCTTTTGGAAAAAAATTTTAGCTTTCTCTCAATAGCTACTAAAAAGTAGTTGTAAAATATGCCCCACATGACAAGTGCTTAAGTAAAGCTTTTGGAGATTTACCAATCTGAGAACAAAGATATGATTTCCTTCCTATTGCTCAGATGCTTCAGTCACGTCTGACTCTGTGACCATGGACTGTAGCCCACCAGGCTCCTCTGTCCATGGGATTCTCCAGGCAAGAATACTGTAGTGGGTTGCCATGCCCTCCTCCAGGAGATCTTCCCAACCCAGGGATGGAACCCACATCTCCTGAATCTCCTGCATTGCAGGTGGATTTTTTTACCACTGTGCCACCAGGGAAGTCTGTCCTTCTATGGTTATATTCTTGCCTTATTTTTCAGGCTTTAAAATTTTTTTTTAAGTTTGGGCTTTCTTTGGTTTTTGAGAGAAATTGTGAGCTGGCATGAATGGTCAGTATTTACTGGCTCTACTATATGTTTAGTGATTTATAACTTATACTTTATTTAACCTCATAGTATGAGGTGGGATTTTTTTAGTTCTATTTTACCACAGGGGAACCGGGGCTGACAAAAGTCCAGTGACTTGCCTACGTTGTGTGGCCAGAGCTTGAGCCAAGTGGTTGGACCCTGGCTCATTGCAACTCAATCCTTGGGACTCACAGTGGCTTTTTCATGAGTTAAGTAGCATTAGTATTTTATCAGGGTTAGTTTTAGGTGGATGAGACTATGAACCCTAAATTAAGGATGCTGGTTGGCCCCCTACACAGTAGAACCACCTTGGAAGGTATGCCTTCAACAGAGAAGCCAGACACTTCCATGCTTTCTTTGATGACACAGCACCTCAGAGATCCCATACCTACCTAAGACTACAGTGTTGAAGGAAACCATCTCTTTGTCTTTGCCATCATTGTAGAAGGCCAGGTGCCACAGGCCCACATCCAGGTACTGGACAAACACGGCTTCGTTCTGAACCAGCGTTTGTATGCTCCGGCGCTCCCTGGGTGACTCAACCACACTCCACTTCTCCTTGCCGTCCAGGCGCTCCATGAAGTCATACTGGGAAAAGAAGAGAGTGTGCTACATGTGACACGGGGTGCAGACCTCCTCCCACGACCAGCACCCTCCCCTCCCGCCCCGTTACTTAACTGAGAGATACTCCTGAGTACGTTTTACTGTAAACTCATTTTGTTACAAGTAAAACAAGAGTCATGAAAGTTATAATAATAACAGTCACCACATGTTATGCTTATAATTACTGCTAATAGTTTTATGACTATAGAGCACAACCTCTTTTCTGCTTTTATGATTTTTTCTTTTGTGTGTGTGTGTGTGACAGAGAGGGAGAGGGGGAGGGAGGTGAGTTTTTGCTCTGTAGTCCTCAGTGGGGTGTTACATAATACGCAGCATATGCCAAGTGTAACTTTTTAAAATAATTCCCCCAATTCTGAATTCCAAAATGCATCTGGCACCCCCAAGAGTTTCAGGTACGGAATTACTAACTTATATTAGCAGATACCGGATACCCTTGATTGATCATTCACTAAGGGAAGGTGAGAGTAGTTAATCAGAGTAGTTATATCAGAGGTGTTAACACATTATTGACCAGAGACATATTAATGCCATGGGCGTTAGTTTCCACAAAAATTCCCTGGTTGATAATGTGTTAAGAAAGAGGGCTGAGGAGCCAGACTACCTGAGAGGGAAACTGGTACTTATTAGTATCACCTATTTGTGCCTCAGTTTTCCCACCTCAAAACTGAAAATAACAGTACTTATGTGACAGGTTGTTGTGAACAATAAGATCATATCAATATGCGATCAGAGCAAACACAAAGTACAGGTGGGCTATCATGACCACCATTATTATCACCATCATTTAATTCATTTCTTGCAAAATCCCTGTAAGATAGGTCCTATTTGTATCTTATTTTACAAATAAGAAAACTGAGACTCAGAGAAGTCCAGCAACATATCCAAAGTCACCCAGTGACCAAGTGGGCAAGCAAAAATTTGGACCTAGATCTGTTTAGGTGCAATGCCTGTGCCCTGACCGTGCCTGACCTCCTATCAACCAGCAATTAACTATGGAACTTTGTTTCAGTGGTAACCAGGCTCAGAACTGGACGTAATCAGTGGGAGACAGAGCGGTGGGCAAAGGCTACCAGGAATGGGTGGGGGGAATGGGAGAGCAACTGTCATCCAAGGGGGCCTGTCCGAGGGAATGGTGAAATCCTGGGGTGGGCAGGTGGGAGCCACAGAAGACCCTTAAACAGTGACTGACATGATGAGAGGAATCTTCTAAGGTTCATTTGCAGGCAGCCTATGAGATGTCCTAGAGGGGGGAATGAAAAGAAGCAGGAAGACCTGTTATCAAGCCATTGCAGAAACACAATCATGAAGTGACAAGCGTCTTGATTAGGTATGGTGAATGAGAAAAGGGGACAATTTTGGAAGACCATTTTTAGGGAAGAGAGGAGAGGGCATCACCTGGGCTGGACAGAGAGGATGAAGGAAAAGGCCAGGAAGGTGGCCATGTCTCTTTACTTGTTGACAAACAAATCAATAAGACCCCAGTAGAAAAGGAATCATCTTTTTGCACAGGAAAGTCACGTGCATGGTGACTTCCAGAGAATATTCAAAGTGTAGGTCTTTAGCAGATAAAACCACCACTGATGGACAGAACTCTCTCTCACCACTTTCAAGCCATGAAAAGGGTTTCATAGATTATTGACATCCACTGCAACCCCTTTAACAAACTTCATAGAATGAAATGCTACGAAATCTACTAATGGGACCTCCCCATCAACAGAATTGCCACTCTTCCCACCTGAAACATGATCAGTGAAAACAAGAGAGTCTATAATCTTAGGGACAAAGGGTTTGCTGTCAGATAAACCTGGGTTTGAATTCTGACTCTGCTGTTTGCTACTGTTTGAAGTTAGGCTATTCTTTAATCTGCTTCCTGGTTTGCATACTAGGGTATAATAACCCACACCTTTTGGGGATGTTATAAGGATAACATGAGATAATGTTTAGGGCAGTGCCTGTAAGATAATAACCATTTTATGAAATACCTTGTGACTCTGAACCACTTACTTGTAAGTCGTAAGGGTTGTGGACATGGTTTTAGTTTTTGTGTCTGGGGGCCTGGGGAGGGATGTTGTATAGAAAGTGGAAATTTCCTCCATATCTCAGGAAACAAAAATGTTCAAATTTAGCTTCCCTCTATCCCACAGTCCATTGGTCGCAGCTGTCTTTATGGGATAAAATAAATGATCTGAAAGGATATAACAAACCGATACTGCTTTTGGAGCCTCTTGTAACCAAGGCATTTGTTCCTTAGCAACCTCGTAAATGTCCGGCTACCCAGACCCACGTCTACAAATTGCTGTCAGCCAGAGGAATGAGTGTAGCTTCCTTGGTGGTGAAGTGAGAAGGATATACTTCACCTGGGATTCGAGTTATCACCCCCATGAGGAACAGTTTGGGGAAGGTGATTACTTGCGTGGGACCATTGCTCATTATTAATTTGGGCATCAGTCATCTTTTTCTGAACTGGCTGCCCAGCCCAGGGGCACAGGAATGGCTTAGGACCATCAGTGGTGCTCGCTATTCAACAACCAATCAAATGACCCTGGGAAAGGCATTTGTCAGAGGAGAGAGGGGACATCTGTCTTGGCTGGTTCTTCAGTTCTCTCCACGGAAGCAAGGAGGGCAGTTTTCATTTAAAGAAGAATCTGTGACCCTGGGGCACTGGGACATGTGGGTCTAAGGTGTCCCAATCTTGTATCTCTTTGTTGTGTTTTATTTCCTTCAAAGCACTTATCACCCTTGAAAATGACTATAATGTTTTTCTGCTGATTGTCTGTCTACTCAGAAGAACATAAACTCCAGGAGGGCAGGGATTTCGCCTGCATGGTAGAATGGTTAAGAGTGGGGACTCTGGAACTAGACTGCCTGATTAGAACCTATGCTCTGCCACTTACCTGCTGTGACAGTTGCATAAGCCATCTCAATTCTCCGTGCCTCAGTCTCCTTATCTTTAAAATGGGCAAAATATCAAGACATAATAATACAGCATAATAATGCTGTAAGGACTAAATGAGTCCAAGTATGTAAAGTGCTTAGAATACTAAGCAGTCTGTATATTGTGAAAGTGAAAGTTGCTCAGTTGTGTTTGACTCTTTGTGACTCCATGGACTGTTGTAGTCCACCAGGCTCCTCTGTCCGTGGGATTCTCCAGGCAAGAACACTGGAGTGGGTTGCCATTCCCTTCTCCGGGAGATCTTCCTGACCCAGGGATCGAACCTGGATCTCTCGCATTGCAGGCAGATTCTTTACTGTCTAAGCCACCAGGGAAGCCCCTGCATACTTTGAAACTTTCTGCTATCCTGATGATAATTCATTGTTATATCTAATTCATCGTGAGCTGAGCTGATCAATAAATATTTGTTAAATATCAAATACATACAATACTGAATCTGTAAGTGAATTCCATCAAAAGGAAACTAACTTGCAATGTTAGAAGATTTTGTCTCTAATAATAAATCACTTGCCCTCCCTTGTCTTCGAGTGTGCTTTCTTGAGTAGGAGATACATCGGCAGGATTAGAGGCAGCGAGCCCCAGTCAGGCACCTCACAGTGTAGAACATGCATGTGACGGACACTGTGGCCCAAGGAATCTGTCTATTCACAGAGATCATCAACATTTGAGAGGTGACTTCAGATGGCCATTATGACTTCGCCTTTTCAATTCTAAATGAGATGGTGGCCAATGCACGCTTTCTTCCTACAGGCTTTCTTATCTTCCTTTTCTTTCTCCTTTGACACTGTTGCTTAGCGACCACTGTAGTAGAGATGGTTGGTCATTGTCTATTCCTTTCCATTATGTGCAAGCATGTGGTGGTGCTCCCGTTAAGGAACATGAGCTGTTGTGAGGCACTCTCCTTCTGGACTCTTCCGTGCTATCTCCTACTTGCTTGCTCCCCCTACCTGTCTGCCCCGAGAGGACCAGAGTTCTCTTAAAGCCCAAGATGATGGAGTCACAAGATAGGAGTGGCCTGGATCCTAGATTTGCACTTGCAGGGAAGCCGGAAATGCTGACATGAGCAAGCAATAAACACTTATTAAATTAGGCCATGGGTGCAGAGAACAGAGTAGTGGCTACCAGAGAGGAAGTGGGACCGGGGAAGGCAAAATGTCTGAAAGAAGTCAACTGCATGGTAAACGACGGAAACAAAACTTTGGTGGCGAGCATGCTGTAGTGTATACAGAAGCTGAAATACAATGTATACATGAAAAAAAAAAAGCTGTGGAAATGTTGAGGCTTATTTGTTATTTCAGCATAGCTTTCAAGATTTCTTGCTTCTCTTCCTTCCTGGTTCACTCTGCAAGACTGTAAGTTTCAGCATATTTTCTGTTCTTAGGAGCGGTAGGAGAGAATCCCCCAGGAAGGAATGGCAGCATCTTTTGTTGGCTAAGTTCCACCTGTTATGTGTAGGGTATCTATTTACCTCTGTTTGCCCAGGGGTGTCCTAGTCCCCATCTCCTATTTCTTCTTTCACTCTCAAAAGTGCTCTGGTGTGTAACGTACAGTTACCCTCCTCTTTTGTTAACACGTATCAAGCAGCATCGCGCAGCCTTGTTCATGGCTGCTATAACCTGGGGAGGGCTGGAGGCTAGAAACACAAGGTGGATCAAGCCAGCCAAAGGCAGAGACTGCTTTCCATGGTGGGAAGGGCAGGGGCTCAGTAAGAAGCTGGTTTGTGCGGAGGCCATCTGGTTCTGGAGAGCCTCTGCTCTCTAGGAATCCTAGACGGCAGTCTGGCCAGCTTGCTTGGCAGCCTGGCTGATACCAGAAGGAGGCCAAGGACTCAGGCGCTGGCCAGAGTTGCTGTCTCATGCCCCAGTGCTGGGGATTGAGAACTCAGGCTTTGTACCAGGAGCATGTGCCTCCTCAGTTACAGAACTCCATCACGATCAATCCTGGATCCAGGGCTGCTTGGAAAACTGTGCTGCGCTCGAAGGACTGAGAAGGTTGCTTCCTAGCACGTCCTATCTGATAGATCTGCAGAAGCCCTGGAAGAGGATTAGAAAGCACGTGGCCCAGTCCCACTGGGGGCTGTGGGAGTGCACAAGCTGCCTGCAGGAGCAAGCCTGTCTTCCAAGGCAGCTGGTCTCTCCTGATCCAGCAATAAGGTCACCCAGAGGGTGACAGTGCAATAACCTGAAATAACGCACCCCCCCCGCACCCCCCTCCACTAAAGTTCTCTTTTCCTCCTTGGCCTTTGAAAAACAACCCATGCTGGCATGAAATGCGAGGGCTGTGCCTCTGAGTCATGTGTCATACCCCGAAGTGGCATGAAAACGCAACTTTTGTGAGTGTTCGAGAGGCAAACAAAGAAACCACTGCAAATATTTGACTGATCCAACTGTCAGTCTCCCCTGCTTCTTGGCAGAGACCCAGGAGGAATGGTAATTAAGATAACTTAGTGGCTTCCCAGGGGCGCTGGAGGAGACAGCTGAGGGGCCTTTTACTTTCCCTGATGGGAGCGTGTCCACAGGCAGCGAGTGTGCAACTCAGAGATGCCTCTGGAAGCCATGCCAAGGCATACCTGCCACAGAGGACAAGGTCAGGGACAGACTCATGGCCCTTCTGGAAGATGTTACTTCTGGGGCCAGGACTTTGGGAGAGGGCAGGGAGTGGGCAAATAAATTTATTGTTATCTGGTCTGCCTGCTTGCCCCTGGTCCATGTAGATGGGGGCAGTGGCAAACGCTGACCTGTCCCACGGAGAGCCTGCCGCAACTGGCTCTGTGCTGGCAATATCCCCAGCCTCCAATGTCTAATGTTGATGTCGCCTTAGACAGCCAGGCAAGTGCAGCAGGTGGTCAGACTGCAGGGAAACAGCATGTGTCAGTGAGGGCTGCTTGACCCTGGTCCATGTAGATGGGGGCAGTGGCAAACGCTGACCTGTCCCACGGAGAGCCTGCCGCAACTGGCTCTGTGCTGGCAATATCCCCAGCCTCCAATGTCTAATGTTGATGCCGCCTTAGACAGCCAAGCAAGTGCAGCAGGTGGTCAGACTGCAGGGAAACAGCATGTGTCAGTGAGGGCTGCTTGAAGCCACACGAGCGTGGAGGCTGTGGTGGCATCCGGTGACGACTGGCAGCGGCGGGTTGCTCCTGGGGGGCCTGTGCATCTCTTTCCGCCTCCAGCCAGGCCCGTGGCAAAGTGCGTCTGGCTGATTCCTCATTAAAGCTCTGCACGGCTTCTTTTCTCTCCTTCAAAGGGCTGAATGCTCCAGGAAGCATGGAAGGATGAGAGCGGTGGGCCGTGCTTGGGAGGGCTGGGGAGCGGCTACCTTCCCTCCACGTGGCCTCGCCTGTCATTTTCAGTTCCTACTTGCAGGGTCCATGTCTTCAGTGTCCAAGTTGCTTCACTATGTGCTGACTGGCTCAGTGTGGGCACTGCGGGGTTGTCTGTCCCCCAGCTATGAGAACAAAACCCAAGCCTCTGGGCAGGAAACAGCATCGCCTCTATTTGTGGACTGCAACAATCATCGTGCTGGGCTCCAGTGTGAGAATCAAGCAGAGAGAGAAGAATCAAACATGATTCCTGACATAAGGAGCAAGGAGACTACATCTACATAGGTGCAACTCCTGGTTCTTTCATGACATGTCTTCTTGTAGCAGAGGAAAACAGAATCGCCAAGAAGCATTTTTTTTTCCCTAGGCACTTGCTATGTGCCAGGCAAAATGGCAAAAGCTGATACATGTTATCTCATTTCACCCTCCCAGAAACCTTATTCTCATCCCCATTTCTCAGGAGAGAACAAAGACTGTTAGAGAAGTTAAATAACACACCCAGGGTCACAGACTCTGGTTGGTGGCCAAGCGAGGACTTGAACTTGGATTTGGATGAGTCTTAATGGTGGGAGGTTGTCAGCAGTTTTCCAAGAACCTGGGTACAGCTGGCTGCCAGCATATTTGGTGACTGGCCTGGTTGGTAAGTTTCCCAAAGAAGCCAGTGAGCAGAGAAGAGGGAAGGAGGCAGAGCCGAGGAGTGCTAGGGTCAGACTTGAGCAGAGTGAGTTGGGCACCTGAGGACAGGAAGATGTCCCAGTGCAGATGATGAAAAAAGATGCCAAGAAAGGTCTGGATGCCTTTGCTGGGCAATGACCATACTCGGCCCATAATCTCCTCTGTCCACCTCCTAACTTCTCTTTCCTTGTGTTTCAGCCACACTGCTCTCCTCTCTGTTCCTGGAATATGCCAAGCTCATTCCAGCCTCAGGGCCTTTGTACGAGCTCTCCCTCCTGATCTTACAGCTGCCTGCTTCTCATCAATCAAGGCTGCCTAAACACCATGGCCTTAGAAAGCACATCCTAAACCAGCCATTCTAAAATGTTCTAATCACTTCTGCACTTCTGCTCTCAGCAAAAAATCACCAAAAACTCTTTGGGGGGGGCGGGGGGGAAACCTTGTCACTTATCTGCTAATTTATACTCCATCTCACTACTCTCAGACACAAACTTCTTAAGACTTGAAGACTGGCAATGACCATACTCGGCCCATAGTCTCCTCTGTCCACCTCCTAACTTCTCTCTCCTTGTGTTTCAGCCACACTGCTCTCCTCTCTGTTCCTGGAATATGCCAAGCTCATTCCAGCCTCAGGGCCTTTGCACGAGCTCTCCCTCCTGATCTTACAGCTGCCTGCTTCTCGTCAATCAAGGCTGCCTAAACACCAAGGCCTTAGAAAGCACACCCTAAACCAGCCACTCTAAAATGCTCTAATCACTTTTGCACTTCTGCTCTCAGCAAAAAATCACCAAAAACTCTTTGGGGGGATGGGGGGGGAAACCTTGTCACTTATCTGCTAATTTATACTCCATCTCACTACTCTCAGACACAAACTTCTTAAGACTTGAAGACTTAATGATAACTATAAATGGAATGTAATCTTTAAAAATTGTGGGGCTTCCCTGGTGGCTCAGTGGTAAAGA